ACTGTCCAGTGAAAATATAATGCAAGCCACTTGTGTAATTTTAAAATTCCTAGTAACTATTAAAAAGATGAAATTAATTTTAATACTATAGTAATATTTTTATTTAACCCAATATATCCATATATTACCATTTCAACATGTAATCAATAGAAAAGTTATCAATGAGATATTTTATAGCCTTTAATTCATACTGAGTCTTCAAAATCCATATGTATTTTACCCTAACAGCGTATCTCCATTAGGATTAGCTCAATTCAGGCGCCCAGTAGTAGCTAGCGGCTACCATGCTGGACAACTCAGACACACAGCAGGGCTTCAATTATCAGCCACGGAGCTAATTACTCTCAAGTCTGTATTTAGATATGTATGAGAGGGTGCTTAATAAACATGAACTAAATCATATTGCCCCCACGCTTCAATTTTTTGGTAATGTCCCATCGGGATGAAGTCTAAACTCTGTTACAAGGCCCATCATGATCAGGCCCCAACCTGCCCCAATGGCTTCAGTTTTTAACACCCTCTACCTTGCACCCTGAAATCTAGCCTCATTTCACTTCTTTCAGTTCCTAGACTGCAACAGCTCCTCTTATGCCTGCCCCTCACCCCTGCCCAGCACCTGACTTCTCTCCATCCCACCTCCACAACATTTGACTTAGGGTCAGCTGACAATGGGGCCACCAATGTCTCCCCTTGGCTTGAGTGGGTCTCAGCCTGCAGGGAGAAGAATTGGGTTCAGTGAAGAACACTGGCTCTCTCACCCACCCCCATCTTTCAGTTGTCCAGAATTCAGGGTGGCTCCCAGGATGTCCTAGCTGTTCCTGTGCTGTATCCAGGGGTTTACTGCAAAGACACACAGGAGGGTAAGGGAAGATGCCCAGGAAAGCAGCTCCTAATCACGTATTCAGGACTCCTGGTGACCTGGGATGCTGGTGTCAGGTTGTACTGACCGCCCCCCCCCCCATATATGCCATTCCTCTGGCCATTCCCAACTCCCCATCTGGATTCCACCCTCTCTCCATGTCTGCTTGTTCCTCCACAACTCCAGCTCCTCCCGCTTTCCCTATTTGCTTCTCTCTGTCCCTGAACTGGCTCAGTGAATTGCCACCCAATGTGGAGCACCTCACTTGGGGGGCGGCCTCATACTGAGCCACCTCATTGGTTACTAGGCTCATATCCAGCCTTTAAATGGCAGTCTTTGGATTAATTTCTAACTTATATACTACTCATTGGCCGGAGTAGCCAAGCCACAAGGCGTAAAGCTCACAGTCTGGCTCCTTGCTCCGAATGTTGTAGACCTGGCAGGCGCTTGGAGTCTGCCAGACTTCTCTCCAGGTCAATCATTTCAACTCACACTTAGGGCCTGTGATCCGAACAAGACTGTTTTCTTTATCTGTAAATTATTTTATTTGAAAAGTCTCACAAAATAATCAACATCAAAATCACAGGTAGTCACACACCTTAAATCCCACTTATTTAATGGAATAAAATTATACAAAATCTGGGTGTCTCAGAAAATCTGGGATATGTGATGGCTGCTAACATAGTAGAAGAAGCAATGGAATCAAGAGGCCTGAGTTCTAGATTTGCTTGCTGTGTGATCCTAGACAAATCCCTTGCCTGCTCTGGGCCTTGGTCTCCTCATCTTCACAATAGAAGTCTTCACCTGTGTGATGGGGTTCATCACTAATGGCACGTGGCTCTGTGGCTCTTGGCCAGTCGGAAGTCCTCAGATTTGACCCCTTCTTGGTGAGCATGGCCAGAACTTAAGTCCACATTCCAGTGAGCACAGGGGAGTCCAACTCTGGGTGTTTAATGACCCAGAATGTCCCTAAAGGATAGTTCCTGGCTCTACAAATCATTTGCCAAGGGAGCAATTCCATCCAGAAACTCTCCATGAGCTGAGAGGCTGGTGGGGAATCCCCTCACTAACCAGATAATTCCAGGAGCCAACCACAGTTCAGTCCCTAGAGTTTCCAGCTGAGCCTTTTCCAGACTTAGGCTGGCTTGGAGCTGGTCAGACACTAGGGAGGGAGCTCTTCTCCCGGGCAGGACTGGACACAGGATCAGAGAAGAAGGGTGCTTGTAGGGGCCCACAATCTCCCCCACTGCACTTGGCACTCCACCCACTCCCCCATGAGGGCACCAAGTCCTGGCAGGAGACTGGCCCCAGAACCCCCAAGCTGTTTGTCCAGCTGTCCTCACATCCCCAGGCCACAAGGTTCTTATATACCTTGGCCTGGAAAATGTTGTCAGGCATCTGGACACCCATGGGGTCCCAGCCCAGAACCAACACAAGGTGGGAGGAGGGAAGCTGGGCTGAGTCTCATACCTCTCTGGGCCTCCCCTATTCTCTTCTGTACATATGAGGTCACATGGTCACCAAGAGCTCTTTAGCTGGGCAGTCCACACCTCCAGAGTACCAGTTAAGAACTTGGTTGGCTTTGAAGTTAGACAGAATAGGTTTGAACTAGCGTAAGACTTTATGTACCCAGGACTTCGATAGACAATATATACTCCCCCAACTTCACACACAAAAGTGTAGTTTGTGTAAACTGTGCGATGCTAACAGAGCATCTTGACTCCTTACAAGAGAAGTCAGAAGTCAAACTGCTTCCCCTCAATAAGACTTGGAGATTTGTGCCCAGAAGAATTGAGAAATGCCCCTTCCCTTCACGGCCCTTGGCATCAGCTAATTTGTACAGGGCCTGGCATACCTCCTGTAAAACTATGGAACCCTAATAATCCATTGTGTTCAGACATATGCCAACATCTCTGAAGTGGGCTAGAGGAGCAGTCAATGGGTGGCAGATTACAGAGAGGGACAGCCAGAGACCCCAAATGGAAACACACCACGAAGGGCAAAAAAGAGTCTAATATGGTAACCCAAGCCCAGCAATCGAGTTAGAACATGGTGGGAAAGGGTGTTGACCTGGACACAGGGAGACCAGGGTCTTGATTTGGCCACTCCAGTGGCAAAACTGGCTGGGTAGGCGCAGCTAGGGGAAGACTTGCAGCACTTTGGAGCCTGCAAGTCTGCTGTTATTCTGGGGAGGCAGAGGAGTTCTCATGTTCACCTTGCAAACATTTGCCCATTCACGTAAGCATGTGGGGATTCTTAGAAATATGTTGGTAGGAGTCATCCGTCTGACTGCACTGCCCTTTGCCAAGCAGGTATGGGATTGATCACTATACAAAAGAAGTCTGAGGACATCTTCTAGGGTAGGGTTTCTTAGCACTATTGGCATTTTAGTTCCAGAAGATTATTGGTTATGGAGGCCTGTCCTGTGCACTGTTGGATGTTGAGTAGCATCCCTGGGACTCTGCCCACTAGATGCCAGTGGTACCACCGCCCCCCAGTGGTGACAACCAAAAATGTCTACAGATGTCCCCTGGGGAAAAATCTCCCCCAATCGGGAATCACAGTTCTGAGGGTAAGATGTGCCTAGGCACATTTTCTCTCTAAAAATCAGTGTGATAGCGTCACCTTTTTACCAGAAACAAATAATAAGAACAGCTCATGATCACGGAGCCACAGGGCAGGGACCACCTTAAGATCTTTACCTGTATTTGTTCTTTTAACCCCCCAACAACCCAATGAGGCATACACAACCGTTATCCCCATCTTGCAAACAAGAACACTGAGATACAGAAAGTTTAGCAACTTGCCCATGGCCAGCAAGTGTGGAGTGAGGATTTGGATCCAAGTAAGCTGACTCCAGAGTCCATGGTTTATATAATATACACCATGCAAAGTGAAAGCAAGAAGCTGTAATCCACTCTGTTGACCTCCCCAACCCATGATCCAACCAATCGGATCCCATAGAAACACATCCAATCAGAGCTTGGCACTGCCCTGAGCAGGAGTGAACTGCATGCAGGAACCAAGCCATTGGGGAAATCAAGCGAATGTCTTAGAGTTGTGGCTAAAAGTAAAATAAGTTCATGCTCATTGGGAAGAAGGAGGAGGAGGAGAAGAAGGAGGAGGAGGAGGAGGAGAAGAAGAAGAAGAAGAAGAGGAAGAGGAAAAAGGAGGAGGGGAAGGGGAGGGGGAGGAGGGGGAGGAGAAGCTATAGACAGAAGACAAGACAAAGGGAAATTTTGAATCGGGATGAGGAAGAAAGTAAAAGCTGAGATACTGGAAGACTCAGTCTACATCACATAAGATGTTGGTCTTAGGTCCTACTGCTTCAAAAGCAGCCTCTGACCTCTACTGTGTCTTCCAATTGAACAAAGCCGTGGTCCTATAAGATGTAAGCTGTCCCCAGAAGACCAAAGACCGGGGTTGCCAATTTTAGCAAATAGTACAGGATAGTGGGAAGCAGCCGCATAGCACAGGGAGATCAGCTCGGTGCTTTGTGACCACCTAGAGGGGTGGGGTAGGGAGGGTGGGAGGGAGATGCAAGAGGGAGGGTTTATGGGGATATATGTATACGTATAGCTGATTCACTGTGTGATACAGCAGAAACTAACACAACAATGTAAAGCAATTATACTCCAATAAAGATGTTAAGAAAAAAAAAAGAATACAGGAAACCCAGTTAAATTTGAATTTCAGATCAATGAATACTTTTTTAGTAGAAGTATGTCCCATGTAAATATTAGGGACATTCTTAACACTAAAGAAAAACATTTATTTGATGATCTGAGATTCAAATTAACTGGGCAACCTGTATTTTCTCTGGCAACCCCTCCCCAAGACGGTCCCTTTGGATCCTGCCCACTAAAAGGGACAGAAGCCCCACAAGAGGCCAGCACACTTCCCAGAGCCCAATCCCCTCACTAAAAGGAAGACAAAAGGTCCCACACTTTCCCCTCCTGCCCCCAGGTGCCCAGTACAATCTGTTCCCATCACCCCCACTTCAGTCCACCCTCTCCTGCCCTTTATACCCATGTGGAGAAATTCCACTGATACAAGGATACTTGGAGGGTTAATCCTTCTGATACCAAGTCACACTTTAACTCATTCCCTCCAGACCAAGTATTAAATACTGCCCCTGTAGGGGTCAGGGCTACAGCAGACCCTGAAAGCTGAGAAACACCCCACACACTCACACCAAGTGAGGAGAGGCTGCCAAGGAAAGGGAGGGACAGAACAAGGAGAGAGAAGAAAGGAGGGGCTGCCTGGCCGGGCTGCTGTCCCCCCTACAGAGCCAGCTCAGATTCAGTTCCAGGAGCAGCTTGGCTGCGGAAGCAACGGCAGTCCCTCTCCACCAGGGAAGGGCAGCGGGCGGACCGGCACACAGACAGAGGGTCTGGGACTGGAAGTCCTCAGCTCCCAGCCTCTCGGCCAGGCCTGGCCCCATGGCCTTCAATGACCTCCTGCTGCAGGTGGGGGGCGCCGGCCGCTTCCAGCAGATCCAGGTCACTCTGGTGGTCCTCCCCCTGCTCCTGATGGCCTCCCACAACACCCTGCAGAACTTCACCGCCGCTGTCCCCACCCACCACTGCCGCCCGCCTGCCGACACCAACCTCAGCAAGGACGGAGAGCTGGACGCCTGGCTGCCCCGGGACAGGCAGGGCCGGCCCGAGTCCTGCCTCCGCTTCACCTCCCCCCAGCGGGGGCTGCCCTTTCCCAACGGCACAGAGACCAATGGCACGGGGGCCACAGAGCCCTGCACCCACGGCTGGATCTATGACAATAGCACCTTCCCTTCCACCATCGTGATGGAGGTGAGGAGACCTGGGCCCCTCTGTACACCATCCAGAGTGTGCTTTCCCCTCTGGCACACACACACACACACACACACACACACACACACACACACACACAGACTGTCTCAAATTCTCCAGAGGCCAAGATGGGAAAATGGAGAAAGGGGTTCAAGATGGGGGTCTTTGTAGGAAAGGGGGAGGTGGGAGTTGTAGGGGTCAAGAAAAGTCTCTCAGCTCCTGGGGCCAAAGAGAAGAGTCAGGGGAAGAGGGTGACACAGGCCTCAGAGGACCAGCCGGAAGGAGGGCAAGGGGCTGCCCTGCAGCCCAGGCTTGCCTTGGCCTGACCCTTGCCCCCTCTCCCCACAGTGGGACCTCGTGTGTTCTCGTAGGGCCTTACGCCAGCTGGCTCAGTCCTTGTACATGGTAGGGGTGCTTCTCGGAGCCATGATATTCGGGCACCTGGCAGACAGGTCAGTCCTGGGCAGGGCCAAGGAGCTGGGCTGGGACTGGGGGCTCCTCAGCTGGGCTTGGGGGGCCTAGGTGGGAGGTTGGCATCACCAGCTGGGGCTCGTTTGAGGACCTATCGCACAGCCTCATGATCAGTCACGGGTCCTGCAAAGACCCCCACCCCAGGGACTCACCCAGGGCAAGCGCCCCTCTCCCAGCTTAGCCTGGCCCTGCTGGTCCTCAGGACCCGTGTTGCAGGTCTTCCTTCCCCCGACAGGCTGGGCCGCCGGAAGGTGCTCATCTTGAACTACCTGCAGACGGCTGTGTCAGGAACCTGCACCGCCTTTGCTCCCAGCTTCCCCGTCTACTGCGCCTTCCGGCTCCTCTCGGGCATGTCGCTGGCTGGCATTTCCCTCAACTGCATGACACTGAGTGAGGGAGGCCGGAAGGGCAGGGCAGGCCCCTACCCACCCCCTTCCGACCACCCAGCCCTGCAGCCCCTTTCCAGCCTCCTCTCCCAGCCCACCCCTCCTGCACTCAGCCTGTCCTGCCCTTCCAGCCAACATTAACAGCCTTTTTCCCGGGGCTCACACCTTCCTGACCTCTCATTTAAACATGTGATTGCAAAGTCCATTGTTAGGGCCAGGTAATTCCCATAAATGACTGAAGCAGACAACAGGCCCTAGGCAGTGGTGAGGACTGTCTCTGAAAGATAGTCACATCCATCCAGACAGGCCACAGCCGCTCAGCGGCTCCAGCCAAGAAGTCTCGGGGCTGTCAGATCTTCCCCCACCCTTTTTTATCAGTGTAAAATATCTCAATTTTTTTTAACATTTGCAATTAATTCTCATATTTTTAACATAGGGCAAGCCAGCATCATATAGACCAAACACATTTATGGACTGAGCATGGCCTGTCCATGAGTCATCAGCGTGCCTCCTTGGATAAGTCACACCCCTTCTCCCTGTTTCTCAGATGAGGAACCTGAGGCTGGGGAGAAGGGAAAGGATTTACCCAAGCCCAGAGGGGAATCTAAGGATTTGGGATTCTCCAGACTAAAGGAATTAACCAGGACAAGGCTAGGGCTGGGGCAGGACACCTAGAGAATCCAGTCCCAAAGGCCAATCTAAGTCTTCAAGCCACTGCCCCAGCTGCCAAATCAGGAGCCCACAAGGAACGAAACTGGACCTCTTCAGACAGAAGCAGAGAGGTGGTCCCACTCCTACCTCAATTCTCCAGAGTAGAGGAAAGCTACTGTCTCCTCTGAGTTGCTCTGGCCACTGAGGCTGAAATCCAGCCCAGACTGAGAAGGACCAGAGGGGCGGGTGCTGTTGAGGATGGAATGAGTGGTCAGAGATGCTCTGAAGGGAAAGAGTACCCTGGCCGGGACAGTAGGTTGGAGAGGAGCAAAAACACACAGCAGGGGAGTGGAGGGGACAAGTCCTGAGGATTCCAAACCTACCTCCCATCCCCACCTCCATCACAAGCCCCCCACTCCCCCTCCCATGGCCCCCAACCTCGTTTGATGTATCTTCCACTGAGCCTTGGGACAGACCAAGGTTTGAACGGAGAGAGGGGTCTTGGTGGGCTCCACGGGTCTCCACCGACCTGGCACCCAGTAAGTTTCACCACTCTGTTCTAACCCTCTTTTCAGATGTGGAGTGGATGCCCATCCACACGCGGGCCTGTGTGGGCACCCTGATTGGCTATGTCTACAGCCTGGGCCAGTTTCTCCTGGCTGGTGTGGCCTATGCTGTGCCCCACTGGCGCTACCTGCAGCTGCTGGTCTCCGTGCCCTTTTTTGCCTTCTTCATCTACTCCTGGTGCGTGGGGCCCAGAGGGATGCGAGGGACAAGACTTCCCCCAGGTGTCGCCTGCAGAATCAGAGAAGGTCAAACCCAGGCCAGTGACTCAGTGTGACCAATGGGGAAGCTGAAGCTCTGGGGGGAAGGACTTGCCCCAGGGTGTCTGGTTCTCTGGCTTCCCCAGCTCCCCCCAGCTCTCCAGCCTACCTGCCCTGCTCCCTATACCCAGCACCCAAGGGCTGAGCTCCCGTGTTGGGGAATAAGTCATCACCAAGCTGGGCACTGCCTTATGGTCCTAGAGATTGGGGTGTGGCAAAGTCCTGGGTTCCCAATCTTACATAAAGTCCCACTGCAGACCTCTGGAAAGCCCATGCCCTACCTCCAGCCCCAGTGACTGGAACTGAAGCCACGCCAACACCCACGCTCACCCCTGCTCCCAGGTTCTTCATCGAGTCGGCCCGCTGGTACTCCTCCTCTGGGAGGCTGGACCTCACCCTGAAGGCCCTGCAAAGAGTGGCCTGGATCAATGGGAAGCGGGAAGAGGGGGCCAGTCTAAGTATGGAGGTGAGACTCCTGAGACCTCCCATGACACAGCACCAGGGCTCCATCCCTAAACCCAGGACTCACAGGGCTTCTCTGAGTGAGGAGCTAGGCTGGGAGGAGCTCCTATGGAAGTCCAAGCCCTGAGCCCGGTCCATCCCGGCAGGTGCTCCGGGCCAGTCTGCAGAAGGAGCTGACCCTGGGCAAGGGCCAGGCCTCGGCCATGGAGCTGCTGCGCTGTCCTGCTCTTCGCCGCCTCTTCCTCTGCCTCTCCATGCTGTGGTAGGCCCAGACAGACAGACTGATGGACAGACAGACAGACCGAGAGACTAAAGACTGGTTGGGGAAAGAGTGGACGCAGGGGATGGAAGAAGGGAGACAAGAGGGAGGAAGTCTGCAGACCAGCTGTGAGAGGCAGGAATTCCCCACCAGAGAGAGTCTTATAGAACCAGATGACCTCCAGCCTCAGTTTGCCTCCAATCCCCAAACTGGGCATCAATCTCTCCATATTCTTCTCCTTTTATCAGCTCTGTTCCAATATGGAAACACTTCATCGGTACTGATGGCCCGCAGAGTCAACAGAATTACATCACAAAGGCAGAGACACGGCTGGTTTGCAAAACATTGAGAGACACCACTGGCCTTGTGGTGCCTGCCAGAAACACAGGCACAGGCAAAACTCATCTCTGAAAGTACACTCTGGCCAGGGTTGAGACCAGCCAAAAATCTTCCTTTCCCACTGCAACATCACCCATTACCCCTCTTACGTGCTACTCTCCCAACCCCATCATCATAGCAATCCCATGACAATTAAGAGAAACATGGTCAGAAGGAACAATCCTGCCAATGAATTCTTTGCTTCCAATTTGGGCTTTACTCCAGGTTGTGGGTTCTGTCCAACAACCTGAGCTTTATATTCTGGGCTCTTGACATCTTAAGAAGCACAACCACCATCCCAGGACCACGGACAGGTCCCGGAACACTCTGGCCTCTCCCAACATCTTGGCCCTAAATATATGGCTTCGGATATCCACTTGTCCTCCCTCAGTCCAGTATCAATAGATAAAATAAAGACTAAAACTGTGTAAATCCTACATGGCAACTAAGTGAAAAGCCCCTAATACACTGGGGACTATCAGAAGAGTGAGAAATCTGGGGTATCGGAGGACTACCCTAACACTTAAAGTGCATACTAAGTGACAGAAAAACACTAGGCAAGGTAGATTCCAGGTTCTTAAACAGGGTAACCCGTGCAGCTCACCCCTGTTCTGGATGAGCACTCCCCCGCCTTTAATCTTCCTAACAAACTCCATACCCCTCATCCCTTCCCACCAGGTTTGCCACTAGCTTTGCCTACTATGGGCTGGTCATGGACCTGCAGGGTTTTGGGGTCAGCATCTACCTAATCCAGGTGATCTTTGGTGCTGTGGACCTGCCTGCCAAGCTTGTGGGCTTCCTTGTCATCAACTCTATGGGCCGCCGGCCTGCCCAGATGGCCTCACTGCTGCTGGCAGGCGTCTGCATCCTGATCAATGGGGTGGTACCCCAGGGTGAGCACCCATGAACATCTTGGCCCCTCATCCTTGGCCACACCCCCAGACATGACCCAACTTCTCAGCCCGCACTCCCAAGATCTGCTGACCCCCTCTCTTCTCTCTAGATCAGTCCATTGTCCGAACCTCCCTTGCTGTGCTGGGGAAGGGCTGCCTGGCCGCCTCCTTCAACTGCATCTTCCTGTACACTGGGGAGCTGTACCCCACAGTGATCCGGTGAGTGGGAGCTTAATGGGAGGGGCTTGGGGACAAGACATTCCCCCGCACACAGGTCAGACCCAGAGCACAGTCCATTATGCCCCAGCCCAAGGCCCCCTCCCAGCACCTAACAGTGAAAGGTCTATATCAGCCGCTCAGTACACACCTAGGCTGCCCACTAACCTCTTACCTGACCTAAGGGGAAGATTTGAGCCACCAACTGGGACAGGGTCGGAGGCCAAGAAGACACATCTCAGAGGCAGTTAACTGAAGTCCCCCCCTTGATCTCCAAAGCACAAGTTAGAAGCTGCCACAAAATCTAAATTCCATCTTTAACCAAGTAGTATGTCTAAAACCAAAGACCACAAACATGAAAGTAATTTTTTATCACAGAGCAACCACTTAATAACGGTGGTTCTGGGAGTTGTATGGATAAATACAGCACGGCTTTTTTGAGTGCCAACGTTTCAGGGAGGGGGTATTTTTGCATTAAGACACCAGAAACACATATCTATTTTAAGAATGGGATGCAAAACAACAACAACAAAAAAATAGAATGGGGTGCAAAATTCATATGAGATGTCAAAGAAATGCCAGGCTTCCCTAGGCTACTTGGAATGAGAACCGCAAGGGGTCATGGTTACTGCCCTGTACCTTCAAAGGATTTCAGCTGAAAGAACGATAGTATAAAGTAGTACTACGTGCCAGGCACTGTCAAACTGTTTACAAATATCAACTCTTTTGGTCCTCATAACAAGCTTATGAGGTAGGTACTATGATAATTCCCATTTTCCAAATGAGAAAACTGAGCCTCAGAGAGGTTAAGTGCCTTGCCCAAGGTCACACAGCTTATAAGTCAGGAAGCTTAGATTTGAAAGCAAGCAGTTTATCTCCCTAGTCAAAGTTTTTAACCTCTGCTCTCACAGAGAATGTTCTTAACATGCAGAGTCCAGGTCCCTTCCCCTGGGGATTCTAATCCAACAGGTCTGTGTGGAGCTGGGGCAACTGTAAATCAAATCCCTCAGGTGATCTGAGAACAACTGGCCGAACTAAGCTAACTCAACAGTTCAGGAAACTGTCCAGAGAGGGCAAGAGACTTGCCCAAGGTCACAGAGCAAGTTAAAGGCAGAGGCAAAATTCAATCTCCTGATTCTCTGCCCAGAGCCTTTCCCAACCTGTTTTGGTTTTTTTTTTTTTTAATCTCCAAAATAAATGCCAAATTGGTTAGCTAATCAAATGGGGAACAGAGCAGGCACCAGTGGGTCTCCTGGGGCTGGGCCTGAGCTGCCCTGGCCCCAAATCCAGCCAGAACCTCAGCATTCATGCCAGAACTCTAACCGGCACCCATCCCCCTGGGTTCCGCAGGCAGACAGGCTTGGGAATGGGCAGCACTCTGGCGCGAGTGGGCAGCATTGTGAGCCCACTGGTGAGCATGACCGCCGAGATCTACCCCTCCGTGCCTCTCTTTATCTACGGCGCTGTCCCCGTGGCCGCCAGCGCTGCCACTGTCTTCCTGCCGGAGACCCTGGGCCAGCCACTGCCAGACACAGTGCAGGACGTGGAAAACAGGTGGGCCTCCACCCAAAGACAGCAGGGACTCTCCCCGGGTCACACATCCAGGCTGGGGTGGCATTAAGACTCAAACCCAGGCCTCCTCTTCCAGGCCAGGGCTCTTTGCCCCTGTGTCCCCAATTGGCTGAGAGTCTCCTGGAGTCCTTCCTGGGGCTCGCGGCTCGAGGGAGTGGTAGATGTTTGGGGCAGAGAGCTGGTAGCTGGGCACAGCTGAATGGAGAGCCCCCTGGGAGCCCCAGGCTGGCCTGGGGGCTGCATACCGAGGGCGCCACTCTCCTGCCCACCCACCCACCCCGACCTGCCGCAGGAGGAGAGGAAAGAGGAGGCAGCAGCGACAGGAGCGAAAGCAGATGGTCCCGCTCCAGGCCTCAGCACAAGCGAAGGACGGACTCTGAGCGCTGAAAAGGAGCCTTACAGAGCCCTAAAGGAAGACAGGGTCCTACAGGTCCTGGGCCACTCGCAGGAGAAGGGGGAAGGGGGAATGGTGGCCCAAGTGCTGGGGCTATGGTTCAGGGAGCACTCCCCAGGGCCCCCCCCCCCCGAATAGACGCCACGAAGACCGCATATTAAAAGGTTTGTGCGCAGCATCTCCCTTTGTCTCTCCTGTCTCAAAAGTAACAGCCACTCCGCTTCAGCCAGCTTCCAGTCCAAAAGAGCATACAATCCAGTCCCCCCACCCTCAATCCCCAGGACTTTACAAACCATCCCAGGCAACTGGAGAAGAACCTGTTACCTCGGCCCCTTCCCCTGGCTCTGCTTTCCTCCCTCTTCCCTCCTTCCTTCTCTAACCTATCTAAATATTGCTATTTCTGAGTTTTAAATCCCTTACACTACACCCCTTCCCTATCAGCCTGGAAAATGACAAGGGACTAAAATGAAAGCAGCCAATCCGAGGCTTTGTTTCAGGATCCTCCCTCTCTGTGAAAGCTCCTGGGAACTTCTGGCAGCAAAGGAGGAGAAAAGAGAGCAGCTGTGACGTCAGGATCCTGATCCCTGCTCCTCTGGATTCCAGCAGGGTCTGGACTCAAAACCAGTTTGCCACTTCCAGCTGTGCACCTGGAGATTCAGCCTGCTAGCTATCCTAACCCTCCACACTGCGCTTCCCGGCCTTTCTTTGCTGCTCTGCCTCCAGCGGGCCCTGGGTTGGTGGAGGGGAAGGAGGAGAAAAAGGGAGGGTGGAACCCAGCCAGAGAGCCACCTCTGAGTGCTAATTTGGTGCCAGGCACAGTCCTAAGCACTTTGCATGTATTAACGCATTCAGTCCTCCCAGGAGCCTTCTAGAGATAAGTGCTAGGATTATCCCCATTTTACAGGGAAGGAGATCAAGGCACAGAGTGGCTAAGTAACTTGCCCTAATTCACACAGCTGTTAAATTGCAGAGTCAGGGTTAGAAGCAGACCACGTGGAATGTGTGTGCCAGGACATCCCCCCTCCCCACAAAATGCCCCGGGGGCTGTGAGGCACTGAGACTTTGGCCTCTTCCACCCCCAGGGCTGTGCTTCTACTCCTCCCTCCTGAGCTGAAAAAAGAGACAGAGAGGGGGGGGGGGGGGGGGGTGGAGGAGACCGGATCACATGGTAGGAACCATGTGAAAGGAGGGATAGAAGGCAGTTTAGGGATCACAGCCAGGAAAAGAGGAATATCCAGTCACCTGCGTCAGCAAGGGAGCTCCCTTCAGGGAGGCTGGGGGCGGGGGGCTAGAGTGGGGAGGCCATGGGAAAAGATAGTCCTTTAACACCCACAGGTGGCAGGAAGGAGGGGGCCAGCAGTGCCCTCTAGTACATGTACTTGCTTAGTCATGCTTGTCTGCTGGCACACTGCCCCTTACTCTTTCCCCTGCAAGCGAGCCAGCCGCCCAGACCCTCGTCCCCTGGAGAAAGTTCACACTCTCAAGCTGTACACATTGCCTTCCAGGTGGGACCCGAGGGCTCGAGCTGAGTCAGGGCAACCTGGAGAGGGAAGGTGGCCTGGAGCTCCCCTGAAAAAGCCACAAAGCCCTGGGAGAGCTCAAGGCAGCTCAGAAAGCCAGAGGACAGACTGGGCAGAGCTGAAATCACCATAACCCACCCCACATCCTGGAACATCTGAAACCTTGGTGTTCCCCGATTGTGCTGACATTCCCATGCTCTCCAAGAATTTCTTGGCCATTGTAGGACCCAGTAGATGCCAGAGCACCACCAGCCCCACCCCTGCTGCTATTACTCAGGCAGTGTTGCCCTCGTGGCTGATGAGGGGCACCTAGGATGGCATCTTCTGCTTCTGCAGATGTAGGGGTTCGGGGACCAGTGACTTGCCCTACCCCTGCCTCAAAACCCTGCTAGCAGCTCTGACATGTTCTGATTCCTGTAGGTCTGTCATCTCTGTGCTTAGATCACCTGGTACCTGCATCTGTCTCAACCAGAGCCAGTCCCTGGCCTGTCCCAGCTGCATACACCCGCAACTGGTAAAGACCTGGTGCTGACTCAGGTGGCTTGCACCATCTGCACGGACTCCGTTTCCCCAGCTCCTGGCCTGAGACTTCCTGCAGTCACTCCATGCCCTTGACCAAATGGAATTCTACCTTCCTCCCACTCTTAAGTCACCAGTAAGTGACTTCTGACCCGGTCTCCCCAAGGAGTCAGCCCCCAAACACTGGCTCACATCTCATCCTCTTGCCTTGGAAGGCCAAGTTCTAATACGGTCATGCACCACCCCAGTGGCCACAGATGCTGTCCCCAGTTTTAAACACAAGGTCCTATCTTCAGCCAGGGTAGGTAGAGCCTTTGAGGCCACGCTCAATTTCTCTGCCTACAGCCTTGAGCACTTCCTGGACAGGAAGGCACATTCAAGAGGTTCTTCACCTGCATGACGCTGGTAGAGGGCTCACGGGAAGCCACCTTCCCAGGGCCCCACCCTTGCATCCCAGGTCCCACCTCAACAACTCAAGCTTCAGTCCACACCCACACCAAGCTCCTCCATCAGGCTCTTCTCCCCACTTCCCAGGAGTTACGTGGCCCCTTGGAGAGCAGATGCCCAGCCAGTTAAGCTTTCATTTCATGTGGTAGGCTGAATAATGCCCCCCAAAGATGTCCACATCCTGATCCTGGAACCTGTGAATATGTTACCTTACATGGTAAAAGGGACTTTGCAGATGTGAATAAGTTAAGGATCTTGAGATGGAGAGATTATCTTGGATTACCTGGGTGGGCCTGGTGTGATCACAATAGTGACTTTTTAAAAATAAATTTATTTATTTTATTTTATTTTTTGGCTGCTTTGGGTCTTTGTTGCTGTGCACGGGCTTTCTCTAGTTGCGGCACACAGGGGTTACTCTTCGTTGCAGTGCGCGGGCTTCTCTTCTTGTGGAGCACGGGCTCTAGGCATGCGGGCTTCAGTAGTTGTGTCACATGGGCTCAATAGTTGTGGTTCGCGGGCTCAGTAGCTGTGGTGCACAGGCTTAGTTGCTCCGCGGCATGTGGGATCTTCCCGGACCAGGGCTCAAACCCATGTCCCCTGAATTGACAGGCAGATTCTTAACCACTGCACCACCAGGGAAGTCCCAACACAATAGTCTTTTTAAGAGAGAGGCAGGAGATCAGAGTGGGTAGTGGGAGATGTGACAACAGAAACAAGAGGTCCTAGTGATACAGGAAGGGACCACAAGCCAAGAAATGCAAGCAGCCTCTAGAAGATGAAAAAGGCAAAGAAATGAATTCTCCTCTGAAGCCTCGAGAAGGAATGTAGCCATGCCAACACATTGATTTTAGACTTCTGACCTCCAGAACTCTAAGAAAATTAATATGCACTGTTTTAAGTCACTAAGTTTGTGGCAATGTGTTACAACAGCAGTAGGAAACGAATACACACCCCTTATTCTCAGACTCCTCCAAGAGTCTCAAACTGGCCCATAGAGCTTTTATTTTCCCATGCATTATGTTTTTGGCGGGGATAGGGCTATACTGTCCAAATCACCATAGGCCTCACCACTGCCTATTGTCTTACATCTGACAGATTCACATATTTATGTTACCCTCTGACCCTTGTAGCCAGTTAAGTTTAGGACTCCTAGACCCCTCTCTGTTTAACCCCTACCTTACCTTCACATTTTTTAAATTGTTGAAGGAAAGATTTTTGTTATAGGTATAGAGAGCCAAAGGAAAACACTGGGTGGGCCCCATTGCCCCATTGTTCCTCCTCTTTCAAGAAAACCACTTAATGTTATTCTCTGATATGTGACCGTCTCCATGTAGTTCATGCTGTAATCATGGAACAGTAGCTGACTCCACTGCACGAAGCTGGAGTAATAAGCTAGATGACCTTGAGCCTCGGTTTCCATGACCAGCTCTAGTAAGGTCTGCTCCTGCTTCTCCTAAATGTCTCCCCCAAGAGAAACCCACACCCCAGCAGCAAGTTCCATGTAAGCCACACCCAGAGAAGAAACCAAATAGCCTGTTCGGGCTAGATTAGATTTAGCTGACAGACAATGCTGAGTCTGGATGGGATGTCTGGAACCGTGGCAGCCTTCTTGTCACCCAAGAGGGAAACCAGAGCAAAGACGAAGGCAGCAACTAAGAGTAACCAAGTGGAAAGATGGAACTAACCTAGGGGGTTGATGGTGTCACTGAGCCACTGATTTAACCAATCCTGGAGCCACCTACATCTACTCTAATGGTAGAAGGTAAGAATTTAAATTTAAGTTCTCCTTAGCCTCTTGATTCTTTAAGCCATTGTAAGTTGGTTTTTCTGTGATTTGCAGCCAAAGACATGTTACCTAATATATTTTTACATCTTTTTTGAAATATAATAGACAATTAGTTGCCCATATTTACAGTGTTAAATTTGATGAGTTTTGACAGATGCATATACCCATGAAACCATCACCAAAATCAAGACAATGAACATAGCCATTGCCACCAAAGTTTCTTCATGCGCCTTTTTGTGTGGACATGGCTTCCATTTTTCTTGAGCAAACATTAAGGAGTGGAATGGCTGAGTAGTATGTAAGATGCATGTTTAAGTTTTTAAGAAATAGACAATTTTCCAAAGTGGTTGTAACAATTCACATTCCCACCAAGTATGTGAGAGTTCCAGTTGCTCCACATCTTTGCCAACTCTTGGTATGATACATATTTTAAATTTTAGCCATTGGAGGGAATGTGTAGTGGTATCTTACTGTAGTCTTAATTTACATTTCCCTAATGACTAATGATGTTAAGAAAATTTTATGTGCTTATTTCCTTCTAGATCTCTTCTTTTGTATATGTTCAAAACTTTTTGCACATTTTTAATTTGGTTGATTTTTTATGATTGAGTTGGAAGCTGTTTTTTAGTGTATTCTAGAAACAAGAATATACTCCTTTCATTTTAAATTTTTCAAAGTTGTTTTGGCTAGTTTAGATACTTTGTATTTCCACATAAATTTTAAAATCTTTTGCCAGTTATGTGTTTTGCAAATATTTTCTCTAAGTTTATAGCTTGTCTCTTCATTTTTCTGAGTGTCTTTTGAATAGCAAAAGTTTTAAAATTTTAATGAAGTCCAATTTTTTTTTCTTTTATAATTCTTTTAAATAAAATTCTTTAATTTTTTCTTTTATAATTTGTGTCTTATTTTTTAAATCTTTGCCAAACCCAAGGACACTAACATTTTCTCTTATGTTTTATTATTGAAAGTTTATAGTTTTAACTCATATTCAGGACTATGATCCATTTTGAGTTAGTTTTGTAAAGAGGGTTGTGGTTCATTGTTTTCTGCATATGGTAACCAATTATTCCAGCACTATTTTTTGAAAATTTTTCTTTTCCTCATTGAATTGCCTAGGTATCTTGGTCAAAGGTAAACTGGCTATGTGTGTGGCTCTATTTCTGGACTCTTCTATACCATTGATCTGTTTATGTGTCTTTACATGAATATCACACTGTCTTAATAACTATAACTTCATAACTAGTCTTGAACTCAGTGTAGATCCTTTAATTTTAACTTTTTCAAAGTTGTTTTGGCTACTCTAGATCGTATGCATTTCCATATAAATTTTTAAATCAACTTGTACATTTTTACCTAAAAAACTACTGAAATTTTGGGCCTCCCTGGTGGCGCAGTGGTTGAGTCTGCCTGCCGATGCAAGGGACACAGGTTCGTGCCCCAGTCCGGGAAGATCTCACATGCCGCGGAGCGGCTGGGCCCGTGAGCCATGGCCGCTGAGCCTGCATGTTCGGAGCCTGTGCTCCACAATGGTAGAGGCCACAACAGTGAGAGGCCCACATACTGCAAAAAAAAAAGAAAAGAAAAAGAAAACTGAAGAAAATGTGGGAAACTATAGTCAGCCTTTGAACAACAGGCCATGGAGATTTGTAATTTCTTTCATAATAGAAACAAATGATGTGAGACCTACCTATCATCACCCAGGCTTTCTTCCTGGAAGCAGTTTCCAGACTTTAGTGTAGAGAAGTGGACTCCAAAGAAGCCTGGCAATCTCATTGAGTTGAGGAGGACAAAAAAGTTGAGTGGCCAAGGCAGCTAGAATTTGCAGGACAAACTTCTGGAGAGG